ATGGACACCCGGTGCTGGTCATGGCCCTCTCCCTGGACGCCTGGAACTGGACAAGGCCCTCTCTCCTGGACACCAGGCCCTGGACACGGCCTCCCCCAGACACCCGGTACTGGGCATGGCCCCCACCCTGGACATTGGCCCTGGACACAGGACTCCCCATGGACACCCAGTGCTGGTCATGGCCCTCTCCCTGGACACCTGGAACTGGACAAGGCCCTCTCCCCTGGACACCAGGCCCAGGACACGGCCTCCCCCAGACACCCAGTACTGGGCATGGCCCTCACCCTGGACATCTGGCCCTGGACACGGGCCTCCCCCTGGACACCCGGTGCTGGGCATGGCCCTCACCCTGGACATTGGCCCTGGACACAGGACTCCCCATGGACACCCAGTGCTGGTCATGGCCCTCTCCCTGGACGCCTGGAACTAGACAAGGTCCTCTCCCCTAGACACCAGGCCCAGGACACGGCCTCCCCCAGACACCCGGTACTGGGCATGGCCCCCACCCTGGACATTGGCCCTGGACACGGGCCTCCCCCTGGACACCCGGTGCTGGGCATGGCCCTCTCCCTGGACGCCTGGATCTGGTCAAGGCCCTCTCCCCTGGACACCAGGCCCTGGACACGGCCTCTGCCCTGGACACCGAGCCCCACCCACCCCCACCCGGCGGCGGCCACCCTCCCCTCCCGCCCGGCAGGACGCACCTTCTCCACGGGAGCCGGAGGAGAGAAGCGCTGGGCGCAGACCAGAAAGATGTCGGGGTCCGGCTTGCCGCTCCTCACCTCGGGGTCGTCCCCCAGCACGACGTGGTCGAACAAGCGGAAGAAGTCCTGGTGGCTGCGGGTCTTCATCTCGAAGGAGCTGGCCCCGGAGCTGGTGGCCACGGCGATGGGCACCCGGTGGGCTCGGAGGTGGCGGATCAGCCTCTCGGCCCCTGGGGAGGAAACGGCAGCGGGCTGGTGGAGACGACGCCACGGTGCCACCAAACACATACGCACCAGATAACTCGGCCTCCAAACCCATAAAGCAAACGTTTGCGCATGAGTTGAGAAACAGCTGTGGGCTCCAGAGCTCTGGCACGGAGGGAGCCAGGAGGCAGATTAAAGACACTGTGGAAGCCACCGAGAGCTGCACGGCCGACGCCCCGGGCAGCTCTGCTCTGTCGTGGCCACGGGCCAGTGCACCAGGCACGGACCTCGAGGAGCCCCCTGGCCGTGTCACTGCAAGCAGCAAGGAGCACGGTGGGTGACCTCTGGCAGCCCAGCACAGGGCTGGGGGTCCTGTCTGTCTCCATGTGGACCAATCCCGGGGAACAGCTGAAGGACGCGGGGACGGCTCCGGGGGGACCCACCCCAGGGGGACAGCCCAGTCCCTGTGGACTGGACCCATCCCACACGTGTCTGCCTGATCGCCAGCCCGTGGCCGCCATTATGAGCTGTATTTCCGGGCGACATCACCTCACGGCCAAGCCCAGCTCGCATCTCGCATCGGGCCGGCGCCAGTGGCCACGGGCCCCAAGCTCCGGCCACACGCGTCTGCCTGCCGTTCCTCCCCGACGGGCTTCCCGGAACTGGACACCGGGGCGCCCACGGGAGGAGTTCTGGTCAGAGCCACGGCCGGCCAGGAGGCTGGACTGGGCACAGCCCTGCATCCCGCTCCTCTGCTGCCCCGGGATGGGCCCGGTCCACACACGGACATCACCGTCTGGGCTACGCCCCCCACCGTCACCCCCAGGATCGGTCCACTCCACATGGACATCAGTCTGGGCTCCCAGCTCCCTGGGGTTGGTCCAGTCTACATGGACATCACAATCTGGGGTGCCCCACGGGGATTGGTCCAGTCCACTGGACATCACAATCTGGGGTGCCCCCCTCCCTGGGATTGATTGATCCAGTCCACCGGACATCACAATCTGGGGTGCTCCCCACCCCTGGGATTGGTCCAGTCCAC